CACGGGGGAAGGGGGGCCGGTCATCAACGTCCAGGATGGGTTTTGTTCTGTCTCGTGCGCTTCTATCGACTTTCCGCGCGCGGGGGGTCCACTCAACGAGCTGCACGCAGCTCGTCCAGACGCAGTCCGTTCGGCGGCGCCGACGTTATCTTTCGAAGACATCATCGCCACCTGCACGTCCAGAGGAAAGTTTTTCGCCATGCGTAAGTGCGTTTCGGCCTTGCGCCTCCTGACCCAACTGGCTGCCTGTGAGATGTTGTGTGGCAGCGATGTAGCAACCAACAAGTCCGAAGGCCAAAACGCCAATGCGTTTCGGCCCTGTGCCTCCTGACCCAACGGATTGCCTGTGAGATATGGTGCGTGGGCGAGTAGGCAACCGACAAGTCCGAAGGGCAGAATGTGCATGCGTTTCGGCCCTGTGTCTCCTGAGCCAAAGGACTGCCTGTTAGATGTGGTGTGTCGGCTATGTGTCAACCACAAAAAGGCCAAAATGCCCAGTGCATTTCGGCCCTGCGTCTCCTGACCCAACGGACTACCTGTGAGGTGTGATGTGTCGGCGACGTGCTAGCCAACGAGTTCGCAGGCCTAAAACGCACATGCGTTTCGGCCCTGCGTTTCCTGACTCAACGGACTGCCTGGGAGACGTGGTGCGGCGACTACGTGGTAACCAACAAGTCCGAAGGCCAAAACGCCCATGCATTTCGGCCCTGCGTCTCCTGACCCACCAGCGTGCCTGTGAGAGGTGGTGCGTCGGCTATGTGGTTAACGACGAGTCCGAAGGCCAAGGCGCCCATTCCCAGGACAACAGTGTTTCCCTCTTGGGCCTGGAACGACGGTTTGAAATCTTAAGCAGACGCGTGTGAGATAACCGCCGTCGGATCCCATGAAGGTCGAGCGGATGCATTTGTGGCGCTGGTTTTTGTTTCGGTGGATCCGATTTCCGTCCGCGCGGATCCGCTTTAGGAGTTTCTGAATCCGCGTCCGGCCTTATTTCACGGCGGATCCGATTTCTACCCCGTCATCACATCATTATGGTTAAGCTGAAACGGGGAAGCGGACGAAACCTGTTCCGCGGACCCTAGAACTAGCCCGTGTTAAGATTCTACGGGGGAAGGGGTTCCGGTCATCAACGTCCAAGATGGGTTTTGTGTTGTCTCGTGCATTTCTATCAACTTTCCGCGCGCAGGGTGGCCCACTCAACATGAATGCATATGTCTCCTGCTGGACGAGCTGCACGCAGCTCGTCCAAACGCAGTCCGTTCGGCGGCGCCGATGTTATCTGTCGCCGTCATCATCGCCAGTTGCGCGTCAAAAGGAAATCGTTCGCCCTGCGTAAGTATGCAGGGATGATGCAGTTTGATCAGCAGGGTGCGAGGTTCGTTCGAGCCGTGCACAGGGTTAAAGCTCACTGGCACCCTCTCGAGGAGGGTTTAGAGTTTTCGGAAAGGTGGAGGCGCCTCTGGAGCCAAGCTGCTGACAAAACGGCTGGCGCTGCAATGCATCCGACCTGGTTTCCCAGCGAGGAAGAGGAGGTCAAGCGGAGGATCAAGGTTCAAAAGCAAGTTTTAAATCTGGCCGCAGCCCTACTCCCATTCTGGCCTCGTTTAGACATGGCTGAGGTCGAAGTGTTCCGTCCTCCTCGCCCTGAGCTCCCCGAGGTTCCCCCCCCCCGTCCTGGGCAAGAGTGGGGGTGGTTGCGAGGCGTTGCCCGTTGTAGAAAGTGCAACAGGGTCGGACGAAGCACGGCGACGCCAGCCGTTGGGCTCTGCTTTCAAATCTTTGAGATCAATGGGTTCGAAGCGTCCTGTCCCGGGGCCCGCGAGCACAGCGATAGCGCCCATTTGAAATTTTGTTTGAAGTGCAAGTGCTGCTCGCGCCGCGGATCAATTCGAGGGTTCGCCCAGCGCTGCGCGCGCCCGACTAAGGGCACCTTCTTGCAAGTGGAGACTCTTTGGCAAGGGTAAACGTCCAAATATATTTAAACTTGAAGGCATCATTGCGGAGACTGGTTCTGGGTTATCGTTGCGAGTTTGTTCGTTCATTCGCCACCCCTTTTCCCTGCCGCAGCAGGGGCGAGGACCACCCTGTTGGTTCGTAGCGTGCTGGCGGGTTTCTTTTGCTGTTGCCCACGCGGGAGACCCGACAACCAGGTAACTTTCTGCGTGCGCAGCTGCACCAGTGAGCGCCTTCAGGCCGTCGCCAGTGGCCTCGGACCGACGAATCGCGCGAGTCTAAACGGCACGCATCCGTGCATGTTGTCCGCGCAACGGTTCAATTAGGATGTGCAGCTGCCGTGCCGTTTCCCCATCGCGGACGTCTGTCGCACTTGCGGGAAAGCGCGCGACAAGAAGCTCGACGACGGAGCGATAATCAAGGTCGCGCAGATGGCGCAGGGCGCGCAGGCCGGGCACGCTTGCGACTACTGCGCCAAGCGGCAGCCCATGGTTTTCCACGAAGTGAAGGAGTGCTGCAAGGGAGTCGAGAAGCTCGGCCGGCAGCTGCAGGGCGAAAACGTGAATCGGATCGGGAAGCGCGTCGCGAATCGAATCCCGAGCGACGCGTGCGGCAAGGGCATCGTGCGAGGGCAAGTGGAATGTGCGAACCTGAGAGCTTTCGCGAGGGAGAATGACGTCACTGCGGCAGAAGCGTTGAAGTCGTGCGATACCGCAGCGTTCTACGGTCCAGAGTACGTGGAGCTGGTGGAGCGCCTGGCAGACCACGCAGCAGGCGGCCGGAGAGCGCAGTTCGCCGATGTGGACATGCGGCACCGGAGGCGCCGAAAAGTGACCCTGCGAGACGTGTCCATGTTGTATGGGCTGCGGCCGCAGAGCCCCGACTTGTGGCATCTGCCCCCCTGCGAGTTCGCAACGCATTGGGCGCCGACGCTGCTATCGTTCCCCACGAGAGCGAAGGGCGCGGAGAATCCTCGCCACCGTGCAATCTTGACGGAGCGGGGCAGAGAAAAGGTGCGCCAGAACTGCAGGAACCCAAGACAAGAAGAGGACCTCGTACCTGGAGAGGACTACAGGGGGAAAGAACACGGTGGCGACGACTGGGTGGCGCATCCAGAGACGGAGGGGTGCGCCCACCTCCGCCACACGTGGGTCTTGAGAAGGAACAAGAGGCCCCTGGCGCCCACTTTCTTCGGGGCGCCCGCGCCTCGCGGCCGTCCGGGTGAAGCGGAGCGGTCGGCGCGCATCGTCATGGCGTATTTCCACCCGTGGGCGTTGAGGCTTGACGCGGCGGACGAGCACGTGGCGTTCGCAGGGAACTTGCGCGGCGACTCGGAGACGTGGGGCGCCGCCGCGGCAGCGTGGCTGGACGGCGGCGCGCAGGCGAAGGAAGCCGCGCGCTACGCGGCCACTTCCTGAGCGCGCACCGCGTCCGGCCTCGGGGCGCAGACGAGGCGGAGGAACGGAGTGACGAAGACGTGAGCGATGAGGAGCTAGACGCGGGCTTCGAACAACTGGACGACGCGCTCAAGCCACGAGCGGGCGGGAAGAAGCGGGGCGGCGGCGACGGAGACAGCAGCAGCGAGGATGCAGACGCCGTCGGGGTGCAAGTAGCGAGCGGCCCTTCCCAGCCAGCACTGGGGCCCTGCGACGTAGAGCGGGCGCTGGCGGAAGCGCGTGAGTCTCGGAACAAGGAGCAGTCCATGGCAGACCGGATGGCGCAGGCGGACGGAGCAGCGGCCACGTCTGGCCCGGCCGCGACATGGCTGGAAAAGCTCGAGTCCCAAGTGGGCGAACAGACGGGGCGGCGCGTCGCGAACGCAAAGCAGTTCGAGATGGCGCAGATAGCGGCGCTGCGAGTGATTCGCGAGATAGACGGCGAGGCTAGCGAAGACGCCGGCATGGGTGAACCGCTGCAGCGGTGTATGCACAGAGGGCCTGGGACAGGCAAGTCGCACGCGTTGCGCATCATTCGCCATGAATTATTCGAGGGGTTGATGAAGTGGACCATCGGCGTGCACTTCCTGATCCTCTGCAGGCCGTCATGGCGCAGCTGCTGGGAAGCGATGCCGCCCACCATGCGCGTGGCATTCCGGCCGTCAAGCGGGGCGAGGAGAATTGGGGGGACGTCAAGTTGCAGTACGAGACAGCGAAACGCGCGCTGCAGTGGAGGTGGTTCTTCATCGACGAGATCAGCATTGCGAGCGCAAGACTGCTAGCTGACGTAGACGCAAAGCTGCGCAGCGTCCTCCGCGACGTGGTGGCGACGAAGCGTGGCGCCGATGGCGTGCCGCGTCCGTTCGGCGGTTTAAACGTCGCGCTGAGTGGTGATTTCTGGCAGCTGGCACCCGCGGGCGGCTGCTTCCTCGCAGACGTCCCATCGGAGCGCATCTCCGCAGCCCGCAAGTACACGTCTCTGCCAACCGTGCTGCACGGGCAAACGCTCCTGCGGGGCGGCGCCGAGTGCGGGGTGCAGGGCGTGACTGAGTTGATGGAGTGTGAAAGATGCGACGACGCGTGGCTGAAGGAAGTGCAGGAAGAGTTCCGTCGAGGAGCGCTCACAGCGGACGCGCGCGCATTTCTGCACGGGCGCGATGCAACCGTGCTTGGCAGCTGGCTGAGCGGGGGCGTCGGTTGCAGGACAATAGCCTGTCGCGAGTTGTGCGGCTTCGGCAGGGGGGCAGCGCGCGTGGGATCGGGGCGGCGCGCGTGGGATCGGGGCGGCGACGCAGACGGCAAGCGACGCCGTCGGAGATTCGCCAGGAGGAGTGCAACGCGTGCAGGGAGGAGCTGGCGCGGCGCCGGCTCGTGCTTGATGGCCTTGACGATCCACGATTGCTGTCGGACAAGTTCCTTCTGGCGCCAGGGGTGTTCCCGAACAACGACGTGAAGTACGAGGCGAACAAGCTCCGAGCGTCCCAGCACGCACGGAGACACCGAAAGCCTATGGTGCACGTGCCAGCGCGGGACACTCCGACGCCAGACGCTTTGCGCGAGCGGCCAGATCTGCCGCAGCAGAAACTGGCGTGGCTCCAGCGGCATGACAAGGAGAGCGGGGACTTGTATGGGTTCTTGCCGATTGCAGAAGGCATGCCGGTCGCTCTGACCGACCACATTGATCGAAGCGAGGACAAGAACTTCCTGCGAGGTCGCGGGGGCCGAGTGCACTCTTGGATTTGCGATGGAGACGGCGAAGATGACCAAGTCGCGCGCGGCGGAGAGACCATGCTGACGAAGACTCCGAAGGTCATTTTCGTGTTGTTTGACGATGGCGAGGACGAGCCTGGCGGTCGGAAGCCGCGCACGTGGACGATCGAGGGCTTGAGCGCTCCCGGCTTGCACCCCGTGGCCCCGTGGCGCCGCAGAAGAAGGAATGGTTCGTGGACAAAGGTCGCCCGCATCCACGACTCATCGTGAAAAGACGGCAGTTCCCTCCGGCGCCAGCATTTGGCGCCGCGGCCCACGCGGCGCAGGGGCAAACGTTCGAGCAGGGTGTTATCGTGGATTTTGAGCATCGGCGCGGGTGCGTCGCCGCTCTCGAGCTACGCGGCGCCGACGCGCGTGCCACGGCGCGCGGACATGTTAATATTCCAAGCCTTTGATCGCGCGCCGTGCACCCAGGGTGAACGGCAGGGCCCCGCGTCACTCTTGCAATCGTTGCGTGGAGACGTCCTGGACTGGGGCGCCATCGAGAAGGAGTTCATGCCTTCGGGGCGGTGCGCGCTGTGCTCCGCAGCGAAGTGCAAGAACCAGTACTGCCTGCGCCAGTGGGGTCGGGAGGACGGCCTGCGCGTGTGTACCCTGTGCTTAGAAGACAGGAAGAGCGTGGGAGCGCCGTGGCAGCGCATGGAGTGCGGTCTCTGGAAGGGCCAGGTTGCTTTCCACTCATCCCAGCACCCATCCTCGAAGCTAACGTCGCGGCGCTGCGTGGACTGCCCCGAGAGGCGGAAGTGCCATGTATGCGAGGGTCGCAAGTGCGAGCAAGCTTTCGTGGCGCATCAGTGGGACAAGGCAGGAAACGCCCGATGTAAGGGGGGAGTGTGCCTGGACTGCGAGGAGCTGAAGAAGCACTTGAAGTGTTCGCGCTGCGGCCAGCATAAGTTACCGGTGGAGCATGCCAGAGCGGAGCAGAGCATCGACGAACCCACATGCAAGACTTGTAAGAAGGTGCAGAGAGAGAGGGGAGGAGAAGGCTCGCGCTGAAGAAGCAAGGCGGGTGGCATGCTCACAATGTGGGGAGTCGAAGGGTAAGGCCGAGTTTTCCGCTCGCATGTTGCACAACGCTTCGACAGCGTCGATTGCTTGCGCCCAGTGCGTAGACGCTGCGGCTGCACAACGGGGCACTGCCGCGAGGATGGGCGGCAAGGCCTGCGTTGTGTGCGAGGCGGTGCAGCGGCGTGAACGGTTTTCGAAAAAGAATGCGGGATGCCGTGGCCGATCGAGACCGCCAGTGGAAGCGCTGGGTCGATGGCGCAAAGCTGCAGCGGGGGCGTTGGAAATGCATTGCTTGCAAGGGCGCCTTCAGGAAAGTGGAATTCAGCAGCTGGTTGGCCAAGCGGACGACGAAAAGTCGGATGGCCGGAAGCAGAGGTGCAACAAGTGTTTCGATGATGAAGAGCGGAAGAGGAAAGAAGTCGCCGAGCGGACTTGTGTGTGTGTGGCGAAAAAACGGAAGTCTACGTAGATCTGCTTCGTCGGGGCGCTGGCCTGTAGGGCTCGGGCGAGAAATGGCGGGTTGGGTCGCCCCGAGAACAGAGCTGCCGTAGGGGGGGAGTGCCGGGGCGAGGTGGGGGGCCAGGAAGGCGGCGTCGTTAGGTTTCGGGCGAAAATTGCGGGCTGGGTGGCCCCAGGCAGCTGCCGTAGGTACGGGTGCCAAGAACAGAGCTGCCGTAGGCGCGGATGCCGAGGCGAGGAAGGGGGCGCCGGTTGTTTTGGGGCGAGAAATCGCGGGGTCGGGGGCCCCAAGAACAGAGAGCTGCCGTGGGTGCGGGCGCCGGGGCGAGGAGGGGGGTGTCGGTTGTCATTGGGCGAGAAATCGCGGGGTCGGGGGGCCCAAGAACAGAGCTGCCGTGGGCGCGGATGCCAGGGCGAGGAGGGGCTTGCTGGTCGTTTTTGGGCGAGAAATCGCGGGGTCGGGGGCCCCAAGAACAGTGCCGCCGCGGGGGCGGATGCCGGGGCGAGGAGGGGGGTGTTGGTCGTTTTTGGGCGAGAACTCGTGGGGTCGGGGTCCAAGCACAGAGCTGCCGTGGGTGCGGATGTCGCGGATGCCGAGGCGAGGGGGGGCGCCGGTTTTTTGGGGCGAGAAATCGCGGGGTCGGGGGCCCCAAGAACAGAGCTGCCGTTGGTGCGGATGCCGGGGCGAGGAGGGGGCTGATGGTCGCTTTTGGGCGAGAAATCGCTTGGTCGGGGGTCCCAAGCTGCCGTGGGTGCGGATGCCGGGGCGAGGAGGGGGGTGTTGGATGTTTTTGAGTGAGAAATCGTGGGGTCGAGGGTCCCAAGCACAGAGCTGCCGTGGGTGCGGATGCCGGGGCGAGGAGGGGGGTGTTGGTCGTTTTGGGGTGAGAAATCGCGGGGTCGGGGGCCCCAAGAACAGAGCTGCCGTGGGGGCGGATGCCAGGGCGAGGAGGGGGGTGTTGGTCGTCTTCGAACGAAAAATCGCGGGGTCCGGGGTCCCAAGAACAGAGCCGCCGCGGGTGCTGATGTCGGGGCGAGGAGGTGGGTGTTGGTCCTTTTTGTGGCGAGGAATCGTGGGGTCGGGGATCCCAAGGACAGAGCTGCCGTTAGTGCGGATGCCGGGGCGAGGAGGGGGCTGATGGTCGTCATGTGGCGAGAAATCGTGGGGTCGAGGGTCCCAAGAACAGAGCTGCCGTGGATGCGGATGCCGGGGCGAGGAGGGGGGTGTTGCCAATGTTTCGAAGTGCCCCTCGGAAGAAGACCCCTGGACGGCGGGGCTCGGGGAGATCGGAGGGTCGGGGGGGTCCGAATTAGCTTGGTGCACTGCACTGTTCGACTGTCCAACTGGCTGGTTCCCATCTGGCGAGAGAGAAACAAAAGCAGGGGCGGCTGAGGGAGCAGGTTGGAACACCGCTTCGTCCGCCCAGGGGTCTTCCTCCGAGAAGCCGCCCCAGTCATCCCTCTCTGCAGAAAATCCTTTTTGGAAACAAATGATAACGGAAATGTGCGGCATTTGTGTGTGTGGTGTGTGTGTGTGTGTTGTGTGTTGTGTGTTGTGTGTTGTGTGTTGTGTGTTGTGTGTTGTGTGTTGTGTGTTGTGTGTGTGTGTGTGTTGTGTGTGTGTGTTTCTGGTCATCCCCCAATATCTCCACCGTCACCTCGTCCGTGCATGTTTCCCCCAAGTACCTCAGCACGGACATCACGAGCACGTGCATGATTGGATTTTTGAAATGTCCTCAAGATCGGATCGGTCGTTGCATACCCGCGCCAGCCTCGCTTTCGGCACACATAAAACTACTCGAACAGTTCACGTGTCACATTCTCATATATGCTCGACCTGCACTGCAATTCATACGGAATCGCAGCATGCAAACAGGAAAGGTCAGACAACAGTTGGCGTTGTCTGTCAGTGGGCGGGCCAGTAACCAACGTCCATCGCGCGACCTTTCGAATCTAACCCGTCATCCGCCAGGGGCTGACGACGGAACGACCCCGAACCATCATTCTTGGCCTGGACCTCCCCAGTTGAGAAATATTGCAAAGGCCTTACAGCTGGTGTCGCCGACCCTGAAGGGGAACGACGACGACGGCGATGGCGATAACGACGACGACGCTGACGCTCTGGAGCCCGACGTTTCCCAGTGAGGGGTGCTTTCCCCCGGGGGGGGGTCACAACCTCCGGGACCCCCCCTGGCGGGGAAGGGATGAAAGGGAAAGGGCGTCTCTTCGACTCGATTACGGCTGGAACGTTTGAGGGGGAGAGGCAACGACGATGACAGCTCAAACGGAAAAACACACACACACACCGACAGGGTCGGTGGATTTACCTCCGGGCTGGGAGCAACGTCCATCGCGCGACTCTTCGAGTCTGAGCGCGGTTTCCGTCATCCGCCAGCGAGGTTCGGGGTGCGTCGCGGACCCTTGAGTTAGAGAAGATGATACCAGGTACAGGGCGCTTCTCGTCAGCCGCCACCGCGCCCAGGCGGGCGCCTCGGGGAGGCGGGGGGGGACGGGGGGCAGGGGGGGCTCCTGGGGTGTGCGCGCCACGGACCGTCATGCCCAAATTTCCAAAATCGGCACCGGGCTTCTTGTGGAAAACTAGCAAACGCAGGGACGTGGCCAAATCAATGAACGCATGTGACGCTCGATACATGACTGGCCTTGGCTGCTGCTCCGAAAAAAGTTAGGTAAGGTAATTGCCCGACACACAACCGCTGCAAGCGCGGTGGCGGATATTGTTGAACGCCACTCCTCGCCGTGATGCAGATACGAAAGTTGAAGGTGTCCTTGGCGTCGGTCAAAACATCACAGCTCTGCGAGAGTCCACGTACCAGGCGAAGGTCGTGGCTGACGACCTAGCTCGCCTCATTGACGGCGCAAACGCACCGATCTTTGGCATCGACGCGAGAGGCAGCGTTGTCGAATGGAACCGCATGTTTTTCAAAATCACGGGTTATGATAAAGCCAGCGTGTTGGGGAAGCCGCTCGTTCAGAGCTTCATTCATCTCGACCAGCAGAAGAAAGTCCACGAGGTATTCCAGAGCGCACTGGCAGGCGAGGATGTCGAGAATTTCGAGTTGCAGCTCTACACGAACAAAGGTAATTGCAGAGTCCTCTCTATCAACGCCACCAGGCGCATCGGATCCAATGGCGAGATCACTGGCGTAATTGGCGTGGGACAGGATATCACAGAAATCAATATTCAGCGCAAGGAGCTGGAACGCGTCGCTGGCAACCTCAGGCGCATTGTGGACTTTGCGAATGCACCCATCATCGGAGTCAATGTACAGTGCTCTGTGAATGAGTTCAACCACAAGGCAGCAGAGATTTCGGGCTGGACTAAAGAAGAGATGCTTGGACAGAGTCTCGTCCAAACCCTTGTGCCAGCAGTCAAGCGCCCGACCGTGGCTTTCGTCTTGCTGCAAGCCCTGAGCGGACAGGACGCCGCCGACTTCGAGTTCCCATTGCTCACGAGGGCAGGGGAGCAACGGCAGGTGACCATGAACTTCACAGCGCTGCGCGGAGTTGATGATGATGTTGAAGGCGTTATTTGTGTCGGCATCGACATCACAGACATGCGCAAGATGGCACAAGAGCAGAGGAATATTGCCGAAGATTTCGAGAGGGTGATCCGCAGCGCCAACGCCCCCATCATCGGTGCGAACATCAATGGTGAGGTGACCGACTGGAACGACAAGGCCGCCTCGTTGTCGGGCTTCTCCCGGGAGGAAGCCATGGGCAAGCCGTTGGTTGAGACTTTCGTCCGTGAGGACATGCGCCCGCTTGTCAATGAGGCTATACACAAAGCGTGCCAAGGTATCGAGACCACCAGCTTCGAGTTCCCCTTGATTCTTCAAGCTTACGCCACATCCGCCGACCCCTTGTTTTTTTTTCTGGGGCGATCGCCGGTTTTGGGAGGGGCTCTGTTGGAGGCTCTGTGAGGCGGCCGGAGGGGTTCATGAGTGGTCTGGATGTCATCTTGGTCGATCATTTTTTTTTTTGGTTCTTCTTCCTTTCTCTGGCGCGTCGGGGTCCTCTTGGATTGCCTGTGGGCCTTCTTGGGAGGTCTCAGGGGTCGTTTTGGAGCTCCGGAGCGAGCCCATGGACTTGGGCGCCTCGTGGGTCGTCTTGGCGCCCTTTTGGGGACGTCTTGGGAGCCTCTGGGCCCTGGACGGCAATGCGGGACGACGTCGCGTTCACACTGCGACGCAAAGAAGGGCACCCTGAAATGCAAGACATGCAAATGATGTCCAATCGGACGCGCGTACTGGGGAGGAAAAGGAGGAGGGGGAGAAGAGGATGGGGGGGGTGGCGGAGGATGGCGGGGAGAAACATCGAAGAGGATGAGGTGAAGCGGACAGGAAAAGGAGGAGGGGGACGAGGAGGAAGTGGAGGAGAAGGAGGGGGAGGAGGGGACACTGAGATGGGCCTCTGGGTCATGGGTTAGAGCTTTCTTGCGTGTGTAACGGGATCTCTTGGGGGGCTTCTCGTGGGACAGTTTCGAAGCCTCTTGGGAGCCGTTCTGGGGCCTTGTGGGGCCCTCCTGGAGGCCTTTTGGGGCTTCTTGGGGGCGTCTTGGGAGCCTCCTGTTAATCAGCTATGCCAGTTGTCAATAAACTGAAGGTGCGCGGCGTTCAATCGAGCTTCTCGGGCTTACGCCACACCGTCGACCCCTCGTATTCTTGGGGAGTCCGACGTTGGAGCGCTCCTCTTCTCCTCCTCTTCCTCCTCCTCTCTTTTCGTCTCCTCCTCTTCCTCCTCTCCCTTCTCTTCCTTCCAATTCGTCCGCCAGGGGGGCTGGAGTCTTGAATGTCCCGAACGAGTGGTACCAGGAGAGTCGTTGGGGCCCTCCTCTTTCTTCTTCAGATGGGGTCGAACGATCCACTTCCTAGTGTGAGTCGTTGTGGGCCGTCTTTGGAGCCTCTTGGGCCCTTCGCCCTCTTGGGCTGTCCTGGGCGCCTCGTAGCAGCGTCTTGACCCCCCCGGGGGATCCGGCGCATCCGGCCGGACCCCCCCCCCCTCCAAAACGACCGGACCGGGCTCCTGGGGGAGGGGTTTGGGGAGGGGGAAGCATCTCACACGCCCATGACCCCAAGGGGTCGGCGGATTCGTCGCCCTCTTGGATCGTCGAGTTGTCGGAGGGCGCTGAGTTGGTCGGGCAGCCCTGAGCGCTGAGGAGGAGGAGGAGGAGTCTTGGGGGCTTCGTTGACCGTTGTGGGAGCCTCTGGCGCCGTCGTCGTGAGAATCCTCTCGGGGGCCTGCGGGAGGCAGTTTGGAGGCTTCTGGGGAGCTGTTTTGGGGCAGCTTGGGGCTTTTTTTGGGCTTGTTGGGGGCCTCTTGGGGGCTTCTTGGAGCCTCTTGGAGGCCTCTTGGGGCCTCCTTGGCGCCTTTTGGGGCGGAAGGCTAGAATTTTAGGTTCGTGGTCCCCGTCTGGAGCCTTTCTTGGGCCCCTCTGTGGGCCCTCTTGGACTGTCTGAAGGCCCTCTTGAGCCGTTTTGAGGCGCTCTTGGGCCGTGTTGGGGCCCACTTGGGAGCCTCTCGGGTCGTCTTGATGCCGTCTTGGGGGCTTCTTTCGCCGTCTTGGAGCGTCGGAAGCCCGAAAAAACGCGAAGGCCAAAAACGTTGAAAAAACCAATGGAAATCGACGATTTTGGCCTCTTGGGGCCATCTTGGGAGGCGTCTTGGAAGCTTCTTGGGGCGTCTTGGAGGCATCTGGGGCCATCTGGAGGCCATCTTGACCGTCTTCGAGTGTTTTTTCGGCGACTCGGGGCCCTCTTGGACCGTCTGCAGAGCTTCTTGGGAGCCTCTTCGCTCGTTTGCGGCCCCCCCAGCAGACTCTCTGGAGCGGATGACCCCCCCCGGACCGCGCCGGCGGATCCCGGGGAATCCGGCCGGACCCCCCCCCCCCCCCCTCCAAAACGACCGGACCAGGCTCCGGGGGGAGGGGTTTGGGGAGGGGGGAAGCATCTCACACGCCGATGACCCCAAGGGGTCGGCGGATTCATAGAGATCACAGCGAAGTCATTATGCTCCTCAATGCTGCCACTCGCACAGATGCAAGTGGCGAAATAGTGGGCATGGTCAGCGTCGGGCAGGACTTCACGGCCCTGCGGCAGGCCATGAACGAGATCGCAGCGAGTCGCGACGCGATGGCGTCCGTGGCCGAGGATCTGCGCGGGCTCATCGATCACGCCAATGCACCGATCCTGGGGATCGACACGCAAGGGCGCGTCATGGAGTGGAACCAGAAGCTGGCCGAAATCTCCCAGTATTCCAAGGAAGAGATGATGGGCAGACCTCTCGTTGAGGCCTTCATCATCGAAGAATACCAGGACGAGGTCAGCAGGGTCATGAACGAGGCGTTGGAGGGCAAAGAGACGGATAATTACGAATTCCCGATCGTTGCAAAGAATGGCAGCCGCCGCGAGATCTTGCTGAACGCGGCGACGCGGCGTGGGCCAGACGGCAAGGTGACGGGAGTCATTGGAGTAGGCCAGGACATCACAGAGCTCAAGCAGATCAGTGCAGAGTCCGAGCGCGTGGCCGAGGACTTGAAGACCTTGATCGAGACGGCAAACGCGCCCATTTTCGCGGTTAACGCTGCTGGAAGCATCACTGAGTGGAACCGGAAATCTGTCGACATCACAGGACAGGGGGTTCGCGGAGGGGGTTCTCCCAAGGCGGGGTTAGGTTATGAATTTGGCATGATGCCCACATGTCTTTCGTACAGGGGCCGTTCAGAGATCTTTTCTTATATCCCCACCTCTACCCTACCCCACCTTGATTCGCCCCCCCGACAGGATACACAAAGCAGGAGACCATGGGCCAAAAACTTGTGAAGCAGTTCATTCACCCAGTCCACCGGAGGTCAGTGCGGTCCGTCCTCGGCCAGGCGCTAGCGTCTCATGAGGTTGCCAACTTCGAGCTCACTCTGTTCACCAAGGAGGGCGAACAGCGGGACATTCTGCTCAGCGCCACGCCACGGTGGGGGCAGAATGGGGAGATCAACGGTGTGGTTTGCGTTGGGCAGGACGTCACCGAGATGAAAAAACACAGAGAGCGCGCCGAGCGCATGGCCAACGACTACGCGAGGCTGATCAATACTGCCAACGCCCCCATCTTGGGCACAGATAAGAACGCTTGCGTTAACGAGTGGAACGGATGGGTCGCGCAGAAATCTGGCTATAGTAAGATGGAGGTCCGCGGAAAGATCCTGACCAATTATATCGCGGACACCTCCAAGGCGACGGTCTTGGATGTGCTTGCAGCTGCATCGAAGGGCAATCCCACCGAGACTTTTGAGGTCGAGTTGGCTCCGAAGAAGGACGAGAAGCCGGTCTCTCTGCTGCTCAATGCCACACCACGTGTGAGCCCGCAGGGCGACATCATTGGCGTCATCTGCGTTGGTCAGGACATCACTCATATCAGGGAGATTGAGCACAAAAAATCAAGTTTCATGGCGATCGTCAGCCATGAGCTCAAGTCTCCACTGAACGGCATCATTGGCCTCAGCAGCGGCCTGGTGGAGGCGGCCCAGGTGGACACGCTGGCGCACAAGCAGCTGAAGCTGATCCACAATTGTGCGAGCAGGCTGTTGGACATGGTAAATAACATAATGGACGCGTCCGACCTGGTGCAGGACAAGAGGATGAAGTTCTCGCGTGACCAGGTCCGGATGGGCGATGTCATCGAGGAGGTTGTCGTCCTATGCAGGAATTCGCAAGACAGACACGGCAAGAAGCTCATGAAGGATGGCGTGCAGCTCATCTATGCTGACGTTGATCTGCCAAACATTGAGGCAGATCCGTACCGTTGCACTCAGCTCATCTACAACTTGGTAACCAATGCTCTCAAATTCACCCACCAGGGCTTCGTGGAGATCACTGCCTCTGCGGACTATGACAAGGAGGAGATCTGCGTCGTCATCAGAGATACCGGCATCGGCATCGCTCCGGAGCGGGGATGGGGGGCAACGAAATGGAAGGGGGAGGTGGAGGGGGCGTGGGTGAGCGGGGATGTGGGACGGAGGGAATGAGAAAGTATTCAGCGTCGTACACTTGGGAGGGCGAATTCCGCGCAGGCCTTACTATTGACTTTGGGCCAGACACCGCGGTGGATTTGCTTAAAATGCTCAACCCATGTAGGTGCGGCCTTCATTTTGCATTGGGAAGACAATTGATTTGCCTGCTTGCGTGCGAAACTGCCACAGACCCCAAAACCACAGGTCGAGCCTAACACAGAGATTCATACAATGACTTTTGTGGACCCTGCCCCCCGCTACATGGAGGCAATCGCTAATCGCCGAGGCATGAAACGACCCCGTAGAGTCAGTCGTCTCGAGGCATGGGTCCAGCCTTCCAGAGTCTCGCAGGAGCCAATGTAGCTGTCCCGAAAGAGCGCAAACACCTAAGACCAGTGTCGTCCAGGGTATGGCTTGCACTGCACCGAAATCAACTGCAACTGACCGTGCAGGCGGAGGGGGGGAAGCAGGAGGAGAAGGCTCCCCTCTCCTCGGCGCACCACCCGCCGGGAAGCCGGCGAGCGCCGCTCAGTAGCAGCAAGTGCCGAACGAGATCTGCTTGCCGATCGACCTCCAAAATCCGAGATCGCACATCCGGTGGGAGTCGCACGCGAAGGACCGCCAGTCCCACAAGCTCATTCATCATTCTGTTGACGATCCGTCTGCCATGGAGGAGCCTGTCCGTCAGCAATCGCAGCATCGTCAAAGTTGGGGTGGACGATTATCACTGCGATGGGGTCAGGATCCTTATCCTTCGGAATAGCGCCGATCCGGGTCGCGATGATTGCGCCGGCCCAAGTAGGAGCTAGATACTTCTGGACCCAATCCCTTGTAAACATTCTCGCGATCAGTAGTATAAGTGTGTGCCCTAATCTCGTGAACACCTGTAGCCACAACGCTTTCAGCTCACCTGTCGATTGTCTGCCCGGACCCTCAGAGCCCGCCCGTGATAGAGCAGGCAGTCGCCACTGGATCAAACTCGATTAGAATTGCAATGCCCAGCGAAACTCGCCTGAGCCTGGGGTCGTCTATGTCTGGCCCACCGTTCGCGTCCCAGGATACAACGTAGGTGGGGCTAACCTCCGTGCCGTGGGGCAGGCAGTTTGCTCCATCACTGTAGTTTAAATAATAGTCCCCGTTGTCGTTGTAAATCGGGCTAGGTGTGTCCGCCCACGGCATGTGAGTCAGACCTCGGTGCCAAAAACATGGGAGATGTTCGTGCTTACTCATGGCCAGCGGCACCAGACAATCGATCAGCCCGCAGGCAGAGACCCAGCGTTCGCACAACACTGCCGGTGCCTGTGGTGGGAAGTCTCCAAATTCTCGCGACATCGATTGCACCAACCGCTATACTCACCCGCTCCCAACCAAGAGACTGCTCCGTCGTGCGACCTGACGACAGCCGGTGCATCAAGCACCCCCCGACCAAAAGATTGACCAGCCGTGAGTCCTGGCGACCCTGCGGTATTGGCTCTCCGCTTGAAAGTATGTTGAGGATGTCGAAGTTGTTCTCGTCAACGTGCCTTGGGCCAAGCTCGTCCCATTGCAAGTTTAAGTAGGACACCAGTCAACCTCCTACGGTATAGTGCCACAGACGAAGGTTGTCGACGCAATCCGCGGTACGGGTAGCTATCGACTCCGTGCTTGACTTCCTCGCCGTCGAAGTGCAGCTCAGCCTTAGCCCAGTGGAGACCCTCCTCCAAAAAGTCGTAGAGTCTGGCCCCATCGAGGGCCTAGATGCCAGCGAGGCTGATGTCGTGGAACTCCCAATATGTGTGGGACCTGGGGGATCCCACTCGGTGGGGGATTTCTGCACTCACTGGAAGTCGAGAAGGTAGCACAGCATGGCGGGCACAGGACCGCGAAATATGTCGGTTCCTCTGCGATGCTGGGATGGCCTCGAGTTCCTGCCGTACAGTTGTCCATTCCAGACGGGTCCCAGCACTAAATTCATGGTTCTCCGCTGTTGCAGCCAAATATAGAAAGTGCTGTAAGCAAAACGCGTTGCAGGATCTTGACCGTTGGCTTCAAGCTCGAGGAAAAATGCAAGGCAACGCTCCTTGGGTCTAGCATGGCAGGTTGCTCCCAATCTGAGGCGATAGCTGACCAGCTCCTGCCAGCAGGCGCCGTGCATCTGGTGCCCGTAGCCACCTGCGGCCTGTGCCCATTGACGTTCAAGCCGAGGAATCAATTAAAATCTCCGAATCGACCGTGTATATTCGATAATTCCACGATGACGAGAAGGATGTTTGGTGCTCCTTTTCCCTCTCTGGTCCCTGGTGTGCCGTCGGCCTTCACACAAGTCAAACCAAGGTAAAACGTATGCTTATCAGTCGGAATTGACACACCCCTAAGACGGAGGGCGTGAACAGTTTTATGTGCCGTAGCTGGTCGGGAGCATATCACTGTTGATTTGTTGGCCGTTTTGATGTGCGACGCAGGGAGGGGGAGAAGAAGATTGGATCTTCCTCATCATCGTCCTTATCCTTTTCTTCGTTCGGAGCATCGGTTATCCGACACCTATCCCCGACGGCGTGGCCTGGGCCCCACTGGCCGATTTACCCCCCTGGGCGGGGATATGGGCGGTTTGTTCCCGTCGGGTCTTGAGGGGTATATCCCCAGCTGGGGTGCCAAAGCGGGGGGTCGCGGGATGGAGATGAGGATGGGGATAGAGACCAGTCAACAAACGATGCCGATGTTTTTCGTCCTATCTGGGGTCTCCTGGAAGCTTCTTCGTCGCCGTGCTAAAATGGTAGGACGCGGGACGGTGATTGAGATGGGGCTGGGGATCGGTCAAACAGTGTTGATGTTCTTCGTCCTTTCTGAAGAATGCGCGCGAGCGAAGCTCGACAGGAGAACGTGGACCGTATCTTTCAGCCGTTCGACCAGGAGGACCAGTCCTCCACGCGCCGGTACGAAGGGCTCGGCTTGGGCCTGGCCATCTGCCGGGAGGTCGCGGTTAAGCACGGGGGCTCTCTGTCCGTAGAGAGCGAGCAGGATAAGGGGTCTCAGTTCTTCGTCAGGTTCCTCCTCCTACTCCTACTCCTACTCCTCCTCCTCCTCCTCCTCCTCCTCCTCCTCCTCCTCCTCCTCCTCCTCCAGCTGGATCCGCAACCCCGGCATGTGTCCCACTTTGGGACGCATGGCCACCGGGGCTAGGCGTGTCGGCCGAGAGTCCGCCACATGACTGCAGGGGCCGCTGCCGCAGACGCCTCCCCCGCGGGGGGGGCGCAAACCCGTGGGAAAGCAAGGGACCGCCCCCAGGCGCCGCCGGCGACGGCGACGGCGACGGCGACGACGACGACGACGGCGGCGGCAGGGCGACGAGGCGACCGCGACGACGACGCCGAGGACGCCGACCGCGGGGACCGCCGCAGCGGCGACGAGGCGAAACGACGACGGCGACGACGACGACAGCGACGGGGGAACGGGGAGGGGAGAGAGAGAGGGGGGCGAGGGCAGGAGGAGAGGAAAGGAGGGACACGGAGAAGGGAGGGGGAGGGGAGAGAGGAAAGGGGCAGTTCCCTACCACCCCAGGGCGTGCGCCCCCCAGGGGGAGGGAAGCCGTGCGCGGGCAGCTCAGCCCGACCCCCTGTCTTGGGGTTCCTGCTGGTGCTGGGGCCCCGCGGGAGGTGGACCAGGGTGGCGCGTCGGCCTACGCCTCCTCCTCCTCCTCCTCCTCCTCCTCCTCCTCCTCCTCCTCCTCCTCCCTCCTCCTCCTCCTCCCCCTCCTCCTCCTCCCCTCCTCCTCCTCCTCCTCCTCCCCTCTTCCTCCCTCCTCCTCCTCCTCCTCCTCCTCCTCCTCCTCCTCCTCCTCCTCCTCCCCCTCCTCCTCCTCCCCCTCCTCCTCCTCCTCCTCCTCCTCCTCCCCTTCTTCTTCCTCCTCCTCCTCCTCCTCCTCCTCCTCCTCCTCCTCCTCCTCCCGTCTACTCCTTCCTTGACGTCCTCTTGTCGTGGCACAAATCACGATTGGAGGTTTTGAAGTGGCTTCTGCTTTCCAGGCCTTCACAGGGCCCAAGGACCATGAAAAGTTATCTGGACGAGGGACCCAACCATATGCAACTGCCAATATCGCGAGGCAGGTGAGACGAAGGAGGGCGACCAGCAAAAGGACTGCGGCGTGGATGCGGGGGAGAGAAGCTGATGTGGGCGAGGGGGGACTCTTCTACCTTGCCTGAGCCTCGTGCGCGTGCATGGCGAGTGAGAAGGATGCGACTACTAGCTACAGGGCTGATCTTATTAGGGCTCCCGCCTGAAACTTCTTCGCGATTCACTGCCAGTTCCTGAAGCTCCTCGTGGGGCCAGAAAGCGTGCGAGGGGTGTGCTGAAATTGGCGGAGGGCGGACCCTGGCACTGGGGCATTCGGTAAAGCTCCCTATGGGGCCACGACGCTTGTGAAGGTATGCTGAAATGCGCGGGGTGACGCATGCGGAACCCTGCCACTGGGACCTTCGGTGAGGCTTATTGTGGGGTCACGAACCGTGTGAGGGGTGTGCCGAAATGGGCGGGGGGACGCATGCGGACCCTGCCACTTAGGGCTTCGGTGGAGTTCCCCATCGGGCCACGAACCGTATGAGGGATGTGCCGAAATGGGCGGGGGGACGCACGAGGACTTTGTCACTGAGGCCTTCGGTGGAGCTCCCTATGGGCTTGTTGGGGCCACTAGCGTCAACCCAGCGAGCCGCGACCAAACGCACCACATATACAATACATAGGAGAAGCGGTTGACCAAGTATTGTCCCCCCAGATGGGCTCAGGTAATTAACGTGATTGGCCGCCAGCAACATTTTCCGCGTGCCATTCAACACGTATGCCCCACTCATGTGATACCCGCCCTTTTTGTCTTCGATCGCACCCTTTTTGTTGGGGGGTCTTTTTCTTTGCGGGTGCGGTGGGGCTTTGACAGTCGGAAATAGGGGGAATTTAGAAAAAGAGAGGGAAGGGTGAAAGAAGAATTAGAAAATAGAGAAGGAGGGGTGAGAGGGGAGGGAGGCGTGGGAAGGACGAGGAGGGAGAGAGGAGAGAAGAAGCGGAGAGGGGAGGGAGGAGGGAGGAGAGGGGAGAGAAAAAGGGAAGAGGGAGGAGGAATGTTGCTCGAATTATCGGCCGCTGCTCGAAAAGGAGGGAAAAGGGAGGCTAATGGGGGCGAAAAGGGAGGGGGGAGGAGGAATGCTGCTCGCCGCCGCGGCTGAACGCTGCTCGAAACACTGGCCAGGATTGACCCCTGGGCGGCGGCGCCGACCACGACGCGACGACACGGACGACGACGACGACGACGATGGGGGGGCCGACAGCCGCTTTGGCTGTGGTGCACGGCGGAGGCCGGGCTCTCCCCTCATCTCCTTCCTCCCTCCCTCCCCTCCTCTCCCTCCTTCTTCCCTCTCCCTCTTGTCCCTCCCCTCCTCTCCCTCGCTCTTCCCTCTCCCTCCTCTCCCTCCCTTCCGCGCTCTTCCCTGGCTCCTCTCCCTCCCTTCCGCGTCCGCCGCGGCCGCCGCGTGGCCCATGGTGCTGGCCGCGGCGGACGCGACGGCGGAGGACCGAACCCGCCGGGGGGGGAAGATGAATGACGATGGTGGTTTGGAGGAAGAGGCGGGCAGATGGATGACGATGGCGACGAGGCGGGAGGGGGGATCTGAATGACGATGACGATGGCGACGATGACGACGATGGATGACGATGACGACGATGCGGGAGTTGGACGATGATGACGACGATGCTGGATGACGATGGCGACGGCGACGACGATGCGGAGCAGCAGCATAATGAATAGCAGGAGGAGGAGGAGGAGGAGGAGGAGGAGGAGGAGGAGGAGGAGGAAGAGGAGGAAGGGAGCTCGGCGGCAGGAAGAAGGAGCAGCAGGGAGCTCGGCGGCGGAAGGGAGTTTGGCTCCTTCCTCCTCCCCCCCCTCGCCCTCCTCTTCTCCCCCTTGGGGAGGGGGGGGGGGCGGCGCGAGAGCGCGAAGTTATTCGCGTTTCGCGCTCCGCGCAGCGCGAAGCGCGAACTTACGGGCCCTCGACCGCCCTCATCGCCCCATCATCGCCCCCCATCGCGCTCATCGCCCTCTTCTCCCTATAGCCATTTTGGCCCCTGAGCAGCGGTGTCCGGCCTCCGCTCTCCCCTCATCTCTTCCTCCCTCCCCCCCTTCCTCGCCCTCCCTCCTCTCCCCTCCTCTCCCTCCCTCCATTCCTTCTCTCCTCTCCCTCCTCTCCTCTCCCCTCCTTCCCTCCGTTCCCCCCGCGCTCCTCCCCCTCCTCTCCTCTCCTATCCTCGCAGTGCCCTCCCACCTCTCCCTCGGCGGCGATGCCGGCCCGCCGCCGCCCCGCCGCCGCCGCCCCGCCGCCGGGCGCCCCGGCGGCGAGCGCCCCGCGCCGCGGCCGGCTGCCGGCCCCAGCGGCTGCCGGCGCGGCGGCGGCCGCCCCGGCCGCGGCGCCGCCGGCGGCGAGCGCCCCGCGCCGCGGCCCGCTGCCGGCCCCAGCGGCTGCCGGCGCGGCGGCGGCCGCCCCGGCCGCGGCGCCGCCCGCGCTTGGCGACGGCGGCGGCGGCGACGCTGGGAGGGCCCCGACGTATAACCGCGCCGTCTTGGTCCGCCACCAGGTTAGGAGTTTGGTGCATAGACGCCCCCCCTCCCGTGGATGCGGGGGGCGGGGCTTCCAATGCGCCGAACTTCTGGGCCGACCAAAACGGCGCGGTGTATGCATCGGGGCCCTGCCCTTCTTGGGCGATTTGGCGGATCCCGAGCTCCGTGACCGACTTGCACCCGGCCCACCGGGGCCGCCACCTCGTCGTGCGCGTCGCCATCAGCGAGTTCCTCGCTGAGCAGGGGCTCGAGGGCGCACAGCGCTGGTCGGAGAGCGCCAACTGTGCACCTACACCGATCCTTGATCCTGGCCAGGCCGATCCTAGGCCCTACCTAGGCCCAGGATTGGCGCATGTGCTTTCCTGGCCAAGCTGGGCGGGCGCATGCGCCGATCTTGCGCCCAGGATCGGCCAAGCTCGGTGTAGGTGTATAGTTGGCGCCCTCCCAGGACGAGGGGTCAAGCGCGCCGCGAAATCGCTCGCCGCGTGGGCCTGGAGCCGACGGCGCTCGACCGCCACGTGGCCACCCCTCGGGGCGGGCGAGCCCACCCCTAGCAACCCGCGCCCTTCCGCGCGACGGCCCCTCGAGGTTCCAGTAGGTGGACGTCGAGGGGGGCGTCGTGGAAGGGCGCGATTTGCTGGGGGGGTCGGTTCGGCCGCGCCCGACCAGGATGAGGTCGACGAGATCTTCGCCCAGGAGCTCCAGCACGCCCCGCCCGACAGCCGGCCCGGGGCCCAGCAGCCGCCGCAGCGGTCCGAGGCGGAGGAGCTGCGCATCCTCACGCTCAGGCTCCGCCAGCTCCCGCGCGAGGATCTGCTGCGGCTCTACCGGGGCGAGTTCCAGGTCGGGGAGAGAAAATCGGTCAGGTAAGTGTTCCTGCCCCTCCTCCTCCCCCCCCAGGGTGCGGCTGGTGGCGCACCTGGCGGGTGTGTTCGGAGGGCCCCGATGTGCACCTCTCGTTTTGTCGGCCAAGAACCAAGGAGGTTTGTGCATAGGAGCTCCAGCTCCCGCCTGTCCGGAAGCGGGGGGCGTCTATGCACCGATCCGCGGCCGACCCAGCGACGCGGCGTGTACATCGCCCCCCCCCCCCCCAGGTGGCCGAGCTGGCGGAGTGGGAGAACTTGGCGAGGCAGCTCGATCAGGCCGCCGCCGCCGCGGCCGCCCGGGAGGCCCGGGCGGCCCAGGGGCCGCCGCGGGCGGCGCCGCCGTAGGCGCCCCCTCCTCCTCTGTAGTCCTCGTCCTTCGTTCTCTTCGTAGTCGTCGGCCTCCTCCTTCTCTCGTCCCTCGCCTCTCTCGATCCCTCGCCCTCGCCCTCCTCGTTGTCGTCGTCACCCCCCCCTTCCCCCATCGGCGCCCGACGCCCAGCCCGTCGGCCAGCCCGACGCCGAGCCCGTCGCCCAGCCCGACGC